TAGAAGGACATGAAGGAGAAAAATTTCTCCATCATGTTTTGGTCAAAGTCCGAAGGGTGGTTCATGGGGGTCTCGGTTGACGTTCCTCTTGGTCTTGTTGCCGTGCCTTCTTCTGTCTGCTGGCCAGAGGCTGGCGGTGGAGTAGGAGTAGTGCCCGAGGAGCCATTAGGGGAGCTCCTTTCCTTGTTTGTTGCCATGTCTTGTAATGATCTTAAAAAGGAGTAGAGTTTCCCTTGTCAGCTCTCATACCATGTTGGGCTGAGATAGCCCCTTAGGATCTTTGCAAGGGATAACTCTAGGTGAAGTAGTTGTAATAGCGGAAGCGTTTAGTGAAGAATTTGAACCGACCTTGCACTGGTGTGTGAGAGCAAAGTTGATTGAATTAAGCAAGCAAATACAAGGATTTATATAAGAGTACAGGGAATACGAATAGATATGTAGATAACTGTATTGCTGTTGCGGTTCGATACAGTGCGACTCGGGCAACTGCTCTGTAACGAGTCAGTTGTGTGTCCTTAACTGTCGCGCTGTAATTGTCGAGTCAAAGGTCAGCGACCTTTGACTTTCTCGTAACCTCCAGGCGGTTACCCTAACCTCCGAGGTTGACTCGATGCTTCGATTGGGACTGCTTCGCTTGGTGCCTTGGGTTTTGATACGACAGAAGCGCACTTAGGACTTATTGTTTCCAACATCTGCAAGCTACTTAGTCGGAAATGAGAAGCAGGGCGGAGGGGGGTTTATCATGGATACATGCAACATGGTAGTACAAGAGACACATCACATGCAACATGGTAGTACAATAGGGACATCACATGCAACATGGTCGTACAATAGGGACATCACATGCAAAACCCTAAGAGGCACATCATATGCAACATGATGTACGAGAGGCACATCACTTGCAACATGATACGTACAAGAGACACATCACATGCAACGTACGGTATTACGAGAGGCACATCCCAAGGTTAGCACAACTCTTTTAGCTATACACATTGAGATTAACACACATTGAGATTTACAGCAGTGGCTGGGTGGAGACAGTAAGAATATGATTGCAGTAGGTGCAACAATGAGTAGGTAACCAAGGTGGGTGACAACATAGCACAGATCACTAGAGCATACACCACCATTCTGAGCTAAAGGAACTGGCTTGACTAGGATGACAAAATTGGTGCCACAAATCTATTGATACTAAGGCATATACTAGGTGGCCTGTCCTTCCCCTACACCAAATATCCAGAGTGAGACAAATTTGGATGATCTTCAAGAAAAAGGACAAGAGCTAGAGATTGGGTGGGTTGGGACTATGCACTATTTTCTGTTCATATTCTGTCCGAACATAATGTAGGATACGTAATAAAACACTAATTGCTTCTGATTTCCATGTTTCGGCGGCTGTATGTGCAACGAAGCTAGTTTTAATGGTGAGTCGATTGCTCCCTATCTGAACAGCATGTACGTATCATCCAAGCATAACTTTTCATGAACGTCAACGTATGCGACTAACTCAATTGCTGATACGGGCGCGTCGTAACCCAATTGCAGTCGCTGCGACGTCGCACGACGACACCTCCAAAGGGTCGTCGTATTTTGCGCAAACATCACGTGCCAGTTGTAAAGGCAGTCTCACGAGCACTTTCATTCGCGAAGCTCTCGCGACGGCCAGTCGTGCGATTTTCCAAGTCCAACAGTCGAACGAAGCGCATGTCTTTCCATTCCACCCATCATCATCCGCTATAACTGCTCGCTATCTCGCCCTTTCCACAACACAGCTGCCACGTGAATCTCCCCCCCCCCCCCCCCACCCTTGCCCTCCGCTCAAATATATCTCATCTGCCATACAATTCCGTAAGCTCCCACTCCCCCAACCAAGCAACCCAACGGATGCAGCCTACTCCACAACCCCACCAAACCGCTTCCGTCGCCTTCCCAGCCCTCTTCACCAACGGCAGAAGGCAAGAAAGAGCAACGCAGCGCACCGACATCTCTTCGAGCACGGTCTTTCGGAAACCTCGCTTTTGTTGCAAAAGGTGTCTGTCGAAGGAAGTGTCGACTTGGCGGGAACTCCTCGCCAACTTCACCCAACGACCTTGAGTCGATCTTGGCTCAGCCCCCCCCCCGTTTCGCTCCGCGCCCGTCAACAACTGCTAGCCAGAATGGTGCAAATTAAGGAATTGTAAGATGCACAACGATTTTCCGAACGCGCTGGTATTGTTCGTTTACCAACGGATTCTCTAACTTGTTCCCTTCCCGCGTGTTTCTTGTTTTGCGTCGTCTGCACGGTGCCCCCTCGCCACGGGATCATTGTGGCGATATCGACGGCCATCTGCGCTCGTCGCTCGCCTCTCGTCGCTCGCCTCTCGACGCTTGCCACGCGTTGCTCGGTTCTCATCGTCCGTCGCGCGTGGTCCACCATCTTCAGCCGCATCACAATGCCCTTTTCTCTCGACGAGGTGCGCACACGCGCACAAGCAAGCGCACGCGCATACCCATGCGCATCCCCCCTTCAACTCATGCCCCGCAACGCAACTTGAGGCGGCTGGAAGCCCACCTTACCTGTCCTTTCTGACTAGACGCAAGGGGCACACTTACATGCAGTCGCGCATGCAACCTCCCTTCGCTCACGTCTTCCGTCCCTCCCCTCCCTTCTCCCTCACATTCTCGCCGTGCATTATCGCACGAGCCAGTATCACGTGGGGCACACCTATATGCGGTCGCGCATGCAAATGGAGAACACCAAGGGGCGCGAGGGCGTCGAGGTGATCGCCAGCGAGCCGTTCAAAGACGACGTCTTAGGCGAGGGGCATTTCTCGCACGTCGTGCACCACTTTCAGGGCCGCGCGCCCGCGTGGATCCGCGCGCTCGCGCCGCTCAAGGCGCTGCGGCTGGAGGAGAAGAACTGGAACGCGTACCCGCGCAGCCGCATGGAGCTCAGCGTAAGCATGCGAAGGATGGGGAGGGAAGGGGGAAGGGGGAGAAGGGGGGCATTTAAAGTGTGTGCGCGTGTCGTTGATTCAGCTACGTGCTATTTGCAGTTTGCTCCTCCTACGTCGTGTGCGGTCATGATCTAATCCATTTTCCTCCTCTGCTGTCTCCTCTCCGCCGCCCGTCACAGTGCCCGTATTTCACCACCTTCAAGATAGTCGTCGACACGTATCACCTCGCCGACCGAGGCGACACGGAGAACGTGAGTGTCCCGTGCTAGATGATGTGTCTCGCCAGGGAAAAGCTAACATGCCTAGGTGGTACTCGAGATGCAGCCAAGCATTATGACGCAGCGTGGGTGATTTGTTGTGGTTGCTATACATTCCCGCTCGACAGCTAGTTGCGCTGCTCTTGCCCAGTTTTGGTTCTCAACCACCCTCGTTCATCTCCTCATCCTCTTCTCTTCGTCCGCCAGGCGCTGGATCTGTCAAAAGCTGACGTGGCGCTACGCAAGGTGGACCACGTGGACATCGCGTCGGCCGACAGGGACATGTGGTCGCGCATCATCGCGCGGAAGCGCACCGACCCCTCCAAGATCGCCCTGCTTAAACTCAACCGCGGCCCGCTCGCCCCGGGATGGCAGGTAAGAATGAAGGGTAATTAGATGGTCCGCTGCTAGCTCGATTGTGGCTGATCGTCGTACCATGCTCTCTGTAACGAAATTGACGACTACTTGGTTTCGAAATTCAATCTGCGTTTCCATCCGTGTTTCAATGCAGAAAACGTGCGAGCCTGTGATGACGTCGTACAAGGTGATACGAGTGGACGCGCCCTACTGGGGGTTCGGCAGGCAGATGGAGCTCGCCGCAATCGCCGTGAGTGCTGCAGCGTTGAGTCGAGTGCTGTCTCTTCGCCGTCGCTGCGTTGATTCATGCGATTGTCGCAATGCTTGCTTCCACCGTAGAAAACGCCGCACCTGTGGCTATTTCTATTCTAACCCCCGTCTCTTCCCCTCCTCTCAATGTCCCTCTCCAATACTCCCCCCTTCTCCTTTCCCGCTTCCCCGTTTCCCCTTTCCCGTTCTCCCCGCGCCTCTCCCTCAGGCGCACCGCGCGCTTTACCTGGAGGCGTACAGGAAGTGCTATGCATGGGCGGACGAGTGGTGCGAGATGACTCTGGCGGACGCACGGCGGATCGAGCAGGAAAACATCGACAGAATGCGAAAGGTGAGGGCGGGTTGTAACATCCGCTTGAAACATTATTTGCAACTTCGACTATAATCTACTGACATCGTCTAAAGCTACTGTTAATGCACTCATGGGAATCCCAGGCTCGTACCATGAATCACCAAAGCCCGTTACAACCCTTATTTCTATCCTATGCCTTTGTCCTGACCCACTCATTCCCACCCTTTGCCCACATCAGAGCCTTTCCCTGAGTGACAACTTGGATGATGAAGCTTTCAGTGATGCTGTGGAGGATGCAGTGGAGGGGGAGGAGGAAGGAGAGGAAGAGGGCGTGTTCAAGTCGGTAACAGCTCTACCTGCTGTTGCTCCCGTAGCCGCATGAAGATGACAGCACACAGTAACAGCTGCACGATGTTGCAGCGTGAGCAATGCCATAAGCCTTCCCATGGCCATCACTAAACTGAGCTTCGGGCATCAGCTTTTGTGGGTGCATGCACCGCTTCGCAAACACACTCTCTGCAGAGAGTGAGGTGAGGGACAGAGGGGAGTTAATCCGGTCAACATGATACATGCAACATGGTTGCGCAAGAGGCAGAGGGGAGATAATCTGGTACTACACAGCAAGGGTCCTCCCACCCTGCTTAAGGCTGAAATTCATTCCAGCTACTAGGCTTTATTCAGATGTTCTAGGGCGCCTCCACCCTGTCAGATGTTTAGATACATTCTGAACCACACTGTAGCAGCGGTGGCGAAGCTGGCCCTGGACAGCCCATAGGGCAGAATGCTGCCATTTTCTTCTTGTTTATTCCACGTACGGTAGCATATTTTGGTTTACACATAAGCAAGGAGTGATGACAAAAAAGCAGCTCAGATTCGGAAGCAGTTTCATAAGCAGTTCTCTTCATCACAACCGCGATACGCCTTTGCAAGAATCACCTCCCATCACCACACAATACTCCCAGGGCCAAATTGTGCAGACCAACATGTTCCCATCCCTTGCATGCACAGCACATCCATCAAAATGATAAAATCCTCCCCATGCCTGTCTCGACCCCATCATCCTTCGCACCCAACCCCATCAACCTTCGCACCCAACCCCATCATCCTTCGCACCCAACCCCATCAACCTTCGCACCCAACCCCATCATCCGTCGCACCAGCTCCTTTACATCCACAGCCATCACGACCATGACACCCGTCCGACTGTCTCGTCTCCCCCACTCAAGAACTCATCCTCACCATCTGACTCAACTGACAAGTCACCTCCCCCGCCTCCCTCTCGGTGACTCATCTTCACTTTCACTCTCGTCGTCCCTTCCCCTCCGCCTCCTCCCCCCCTCCCTGTCCCCCCGACCGCCCCTGACCTCAGGAGACACATCCCTCCCCCCTGCCCCCTTGCCCTCGCCCCTGCTCCCCCGCAAATCCCCCTTGCCACCTTTCGGAGCAGGAGACACATTCCTGCCTTTGCCCCCAGCCCTGCGTACAGGGGACCCATCCTCCCTCCCCCTAACCTCTGGAGACCCACCCTTGCCCCTACCGCCCCCGCCCCCACCCCCACCCCTGACTCCCCCTCTGCCCCCGCCTTCGGCCCCCCTGGGAGGGGGAGACGCGCTCCTGCTGTCATGTCGCGGCCTGGGAGCAGCAGCAACCTGCCTGCGGCGGGGAGGAGAGGGTGAGCGAGCGGGCGACCTGGAGGGCGAGCGAGAGGGAGACGAGGAGGGCGACGAGGGACCGGACGAGCTGGTGGGGGAAGCGGCAGCGGCAGCGGCAGGGGCAGCAGCAGCAGCCCTTACTGACCGTCGCTGAGGGCTGGGGGAACGGCCTCGCTTGGGGCTGGGGGAGCGGGCGCGCTTGAACGTGGGCGGAGCGGCGCGTTTAGGGCTGGGGGAACGAGAGCGCTGGGGACTGGGGGAAGGGGCGGCTCTGGGGCTGGAGGCGCGATAGCGCTTGGGGCTGGGAGAGCGGGCGCGCTTGGGAGAGGCAGAGCGGCGATTGGGCGAGAGGTCTTTGGGCTCGGCGCGGAACGACCTCTGCTGCCTGCTGCCACGACCCTCCGAGTCCTTCTCAACCTGCGCTGCCTTCCTCCCCCGCTCCCGCTCCCGCTCCCCCTTGCGCCCCCTCTCCTCCTCCTCGCTCTCCGATTCCCCTCTCCCCTCCCTCACCCCCTCGCGCTTCTTGAACGAGATGCTCTTGCCAGCCATCCACCTGTCCTCGCCCTCATCATCATCAGCAGCATCAGTGGCGCGCGCGTCCCTCCGCTGTTTCTTCCGCTCACCCCCCTGCTCCTCCTCTCTCCCCCTCCCCCTCCTCTCGTCTCCCCTCCGCGTCTCCCCTTCGTCCTTCCGCCGCCCTTCCTCCCTCTTCCGCTCCGATCTCAACCTCTCCGCCTCCCTGCGCTCCGCCTCCTCCTCCCTCCGCCTAACTTCCTCTTCCGCCCTCCGCGCCTCCGCTTCCCGCGCCTCTTCCGCCCGCCGCGCCTCCTCCGCTTCCCGGAGCTTCCGCGCCTTCTTTTCCTTCCGCCTCATCTCCTCCTCCCGCTCCGCCGCCTCCTCCTCCGCCCGCCTCCGCGCCTTCTCTTCTTTCTTAAGCCTCTTCTTCATCTCTTTCTCCTCCTTCCGTCTCTGCTTCTCCCTCCGCCTTTCCTCCTTCTCCCGCTCCTTCTCCTCCCGCCGCCGCGCCTCCTCCGCCTCCTCCCGCGCCAGCTGCCGCTCCTGCCGCCGCTGCTCCTGTAGCTCGCGGTCGAACGCGTCCCCTTCTTTAGCAGACTCGTTAATGCGCAGAGCGGCCTTGAGCGTCTCCATCTTCTTCTCCTTGCGCGCCACGATCTGATGCGTCTGGTTCCTGCGAGACGTCGCCACACGTCGCCACACGTCGCCAACCGTCGCCAACCGTCGCCCACCGTCAGCACGAAAGGACCGGAAAACGAGTCAAAGAAAAGATTCGACAAAATCAGGAGCCAAGAAACCCTAGCGTACGTCAGAACGGCCGAGAAACGAGCGGAAACTCAGCGAGATAATGAGCCACCAAACATAACTAGCAGTCTAGCAGAATGGAACAGCAGCGAAGACACGTGGTTGGGTCAACTCACCCTAGCGACTCCAGCGCCTGGTCCTCCGATTCCTCGCGCATGGCGGCCTCGAGCTGCGCGCGCGCCTGCTCCATCTGCTCCTCCATCTCCTCCTCCAGGTACCCCTGCTCCTCCAGCGTCTCGCGCAGCAGCAGCAGCTTCAGCTCGATCTGCCGCTTCCGATCATGCTCCAGGATCTCTTTGTTCGCCTTGCGGCTAATTCCGCCCGTTCCCGCGCCTTCCTGGAACTCTTTCGCCTCGAATTTCGTGTGCCGGTGGCGAATCACGAATTTGTTCGCCTGCACGTATCCGTTGGTCCCCGACCCGCGGGCCGTCTGAAGCCCTATGCCGTTATACATGGCGGCTCGTTTTCACCGGCACTCAGCTCCGATATTTTTTAAGCTTTACTGAACCGTATTAGCAATCGATAAGCCTAGAGCGCAGAAATATAGCGGCAGAATTAGGAACGGCGAGGATCAAGATTCAAGAATCGAGTGGAGAATTGTGGAGCGGAAGAAATTAGGACGATGATGCTCGTAGTAGAAGAGAGGGAGGGATGATGTTAGGGTTTACATCCACTGTGGTTGGGTGGGGCAGGGCATGGCAGTGGGCAGATTGATAAAATGTATTGACTGCACAAAAAGTAAACACTTCACTGCACTGTATTCATTGCGAAAATGTATTGACAATACCAACCTGACCTGACAGAGTGGCAACCTCATGTCGACTGTGACCGTCGATCTTACCGGTTCAAGTGACGCGCTGAAGGCGAAAAAGTTCTATTTGCTGCAGACAATTCGTTACCCTGCATTACATAAACTCAAGAACTTGCCTCACAAAAAGGAAACGTCCTATAAAAAGAAAAAGCATTTCACATGCTCCACACAATTTGTGCGGGCACAGCACTGCCAGTAATTATTCCACAGGCTTTCAACAAAAATATGCAGTCGCTATGATAAACAGGTGTTCTTTTACTCTCATTTGTCCAATTCACTTGATACCCCCCCTCCGGAGGCTCTTCCACTTTTATCCAAACCTGCTTCTCTCCCGTCAGCTCCACTCTCCTCGCCTTGCATGAATGGTGGGACTTCACCAGCCACGGCACCAGCCGCCACACCAGCAGCTGCCGCTTCTGCAGCCGCCACCTCAGCAGCCTCTCGCCGCCGTTGCTCCTCAACGACCCGCTCAGCCGCCACCCGGCGGGCCTCTTCCACATGCTGCCACATGTCATCGCCTGGTTGGACACCTGCTCGCTGCATATCTTCCAAGATTGCCACCGCTGTGTCAATCTCCAGGAGCCCAAGGCACGTGTTGACCACCGTCTTGTAGAGGTTGCTGCAAGTGAAGGGGAGGAAAAGAGAGGAAGGCAGGGGAGGAGGGAGAGCAGACCGGGATGGAAGAGCAGGGAGCAGAGGCAGTTGGTTAGAAATGGGATGGGAAGGAGGTGAGTGCTACAGAACTTTCAAGTTGGACCAATTTTTGGACAGGACAAGGGCGAGAAGAGAAGCAGGCGTGCATCGAATGTATGCAATATCCTTATAAGCTCAATAACCATGGCAGAATGCGTGATACGAGGAGTGGCAAGGCCATGTATTGATGGCACCATCAGCTTACAATGTGCACCAAGGGACATGCTCAATGTTTCACTCACATGCCGAACTTGTGACCAATCGCGTGCGACTTCTCGACAACCCCCTGCATAATACGACAATCGTTGCCGTCCACTGCCGCCCACAGCACCATGCAGCAGTCCGCCAGGGTTGGCACGCCACCCAGCTCAATCACCTGAGGGAGCAACAAATGGCACGGGCAGTGGGAATGGTGAGAGGGAAGCTTTGTCCCATATAAGCACAAAAGACAGACTCATTCGCTCGTCGCATCGTATCATCATCTCTTTGTCCCAATGCCTCACTCCCTTATTGTCACTTTGTCACTTCCTCTCATCCTCACCAGTTGAAAGATGCTCCAAGCGCTGTCCAGCTCCATCCTCTCACTCCACGGCAGCACCACACGCTCCTTGTCCGCCCGCTCCCACCAGTGCCCCCACCGCTCCTCCAGGGTGAAGATGCCGTCCAGAGTGGTGGAGAGCGGTATGAGGTCCTCCTCTGCGCGGAACGCCTGCATCTCCTCGTCCTCCTCTGCTGCCTGCGCTGCTGACCCCGCCAGGATGGCCGGCGCTGCTGCGTGCACCTCCCCCTCGTCCTCATCATCATACAGGTCCTGCATGGAGGGGGAGACGGGGGGTGGGGGGAACCGGAGAAGATGGAGGAGGATGGGATGAATGTCTTGCTCTCATCCTCGTCGTCATACCAGTCCAAGGGGGTGGTCAGAGGGGGCCTGCATCTCCTCGTCCTCCTCTGCTGCCTGCGCTGCTGATACCGCCAGGATGGCTGGTGCAGCTGCATGCACCTCCCCCTCGTCCTCATCATCATACAGGTCCTGGGGGAGGGGGAGTGGGAGGGGAGGTGGGGGAGGGGAGAGGGGGAGCGGTAGGGGAAGCGGGAGGTGGGTGGGTTTGAAAAAGCTGCTGCATGCACCTCCCCCTCGTCCTCATCATCATACAGGTCCTGGGGGAGGGGGAGGAGGGAAGGGGAGAAGGGGTCAGGGAGTGGGGAAAGTGGAGAAGGGGGGAAAAGGAGCAATAGAGCACAAGCGTTAAAGAGCTTGAGAGCCAAGTGCATGAGAGGACGAGAGCATGAATGCACGCATCTGTGCACTTCGCCTCTCATCTCACCGACGACTTGGCCTTGGCTCTTCCCGCTGCGCTCCCACCCCCGCCGCCCGCACTGCCGCCCACAAGCTGCGACGTGAGCAGCCCACCGCCGCCCCGCACGCCCTCCTCCTCCATTGCCAGCACCGACACCTCCCTCTCTGCTCCGCCGCCCAGCATGCCGCCCGCCTGCCCCGGCGCCACCTCCTCCTCGTCCACCGCCTCGTCCTCTTCCCCCACCGCCCCCTCCTCCTCTTCGTCCTCATCCTCCTCATCATCTATCACATCGTCAACTTCTAATTCCTCCTCCTCCTCCTCTTCCTCCTCATCTTCATCATCCTCATCTTCTTCCTCATCTTCCTCCTCTTCCTCTTCCTCCTCCTCCTCCTCTTCCTCCCCGCCGGACAGTGCCGCCCGGATCCGCTTGTCTTCCACGCGCTGCCGCTCGTCCGCCGCCCGCTGCTTCTCGTCTGCTTCCCGCTGCCGCTCGTCCTGCTCGCGCTGCTGCTGCGCCTCACTCGCCCGCCGCTCGCTCTCCCGCATCATCTCGATCACCTGCGGCCACGACGCCGCTGAGCCGTCCAGGGTCAGGTGCTCCAGCAGATACTCCACTCTTGCGCTCGCCTGTAAGACAAGGGGGTTACAGGGAAAGGCAAGGAGAAAAGGAGTCTCAGTCATCTCTATCACCTGCGGCCATGACAGCGCTGTGCCGTCTAGAGTCAGGTGCTCCAGGAGATACTCCACTCGGGCACTCGCCTGTGAAACAGGAGACTGTGGGGACGGTGAGAGGGAAAGAGAAGTTTATCCCTCATTTGCTACACAATCACCTGTGATCATGCCACTGCTGTGCCATGCCATCGCTTCAGCAAATACTCCACTCGCTTTCTCAATAGCCTGTGACCGCCACCCACCTACACCACACAGCACCCCAATCTCACCTGCACCACTCAGCACCACTCCAATCTCACCTGCATGACGGGCTCTCGGGTCTGCGGCGTCCACAGCGGTTTCCCCAGCGCCTTGTTTAGCCTTCTCGCGCGCTGCACTCGAGCATACAGCACGGCACGGTTGCCATCGGTGGGCAGCCCCTGCCCCGCCAGCTCCTGCCGCAGCTCCCCCACCACCATCTTGCTCGCCGCCTTGGGCGCCCTTGCTCCCCCCCTCGCCCCCATCAACCCCCCCGTCAGGCCCCCCGTCAAGCCCCCGGTTAGGCCCCAAGAACCAGCAGCACTGTTGCTGGTCGTGGCAGTGCTAACAGCAGTGCCTGCATCACCACTAGAAGAAGCACCGGCAGCAGCAGATGCGGCTGGGAGTAGGGCGGATCCGCCTCCACCCATGGGAGTGCCTGCGCCCGCCCCTGTGGGGCCCTGGATTTGTAGCTCCATTTCCAGCCACTCCGCCACTTCTACCGCCTCCTCCTTGCTCACTCCCAGTTCTGCCGGCCATGCTGCCACTCCCTGGAAGATGGGGGGAGTGGTGAGGGGAGACGAGAAGGGGGGGTGGAGGGAAGGGGTGATGGGAGTGCCTGCCTGTGCTCGCCCCTGTGGGGCCCTGGATATGCAGCTCCATCTCCAGCCACTCCTTTTGAGTCGACTCAAAAGCTCCATCTCCAGCCACTCCTTTTGAGTCGACTCAAAAGCTCCATCTCCAGCCACTCCTTTTGAGTCGACTCAAAAGCTCCATCTCCAGCCACTCCTTTTGAGTCGACTCAAAAGCTCCATCTCCAGCCACTCCTTTTGAGTCGACTCAAAGCTCCATCTCCAGCCACTCCGCCACCTCCACCGCCTCTTCCTTGCTCACCCCTAGGTCCGCCGGCCGTGCTGCCACTCCCTGGTTGATGGGAGGGGTAGTGGGGGAGATGAGAGGGCGGAATAAGTAAGGTGGATGGAGGGATAAGGGCTGGATGGAGACTCGACCACACTCTACCGCACTCAACCGCAGTTTACCGCACTCAACTGCAGTTTACCGCACTCAAGTGTTCTCACCCGCCACATGAGTGTGTAGTAGAGCTGCTTGCGGTAGGCCCTGAAGCGCCGCACAAGGCTCTCCTCGAACGACACGATGGGGGGTGGCAGCCAGAAGAGTGTAATGAATTCGCTCACCTTGCACTCAACCACACTCAACTGCACTCAACCGTACTCAACTGTTCTCTCTCCCCCATCCACACTCTCACCCGCCACATGAGTGTGTAGTAGAGATGTTTGCGGTAGGCCCTAAAGCGGCGCACAAGGCTCTCCTCGAACGACACCGTGGGCGGCGGCAGCCAGAAGCCCGGCAGCTCGTCCGTCTCCATCTTGACCCGCCACCACCCCCCGTGGCGCTCCATGTCCCTCTTCTCCCTCCTCTCCACACTCCAGTTGTCCGACTCGTCCGCAGCCCTGGTGGGGGTACAGGACAGGTGCATTCGGGGGGTAGGGGCACACAGGAACACAGGAACACAGGCAAAAGGGCAGATAATACAGAAGGGATCAGATCACGACAGAAGGGTGGGTGAGAGAGGAGAGAGCAGCCAGAAGCCCGGCAGCTCGTCCGTCTCCATCTTGACCCGCCACCACCCCCCGTGCCGCTCCATGCCCCTCTTCTCCCTCCTCTGCCTGCTCCACTCCTCCGACTCCTCTGCGGCTCTGGTGGGGGTATGGGCACATGCGCACAAGATAAAAGCTTCTGTCTACAAGAAGGGGTGAAGCCAGAAGGCTGGCTATAGGCTGGCTCTAGGCTGGCTATAGGCTGGCTATAGGCTGGCTCTAGGCTGGCTATAGGCTGGCTCTAGGCTGGCTCTAGGCTGGCTATAGGCTGGCTCTAGGCTGGCTCTAGGCTGGCTCTAGGCTGGCTCTAGGCTGGCTCTAGGCTGGCTCTAGGCTGGCTCTAGGCTGGCTCTAGGCTGGCTCTAGGCTGGCTCTAGGCTGGCTCTAGGCTGGCTCTAGGCTGGCTCTAGGCTGGCTCTAGGCTGGCTCTAGGCTGGCTCTAGGCTGGCTCTAGGCTGGCTCCATGTCACCATTGCTTCCATGCGCACACCAGCGTGCACCGCTGTTGATGCTCATGCTGATATGCTGATGCTGGTGCTGGTGCTGGTGCTGATGCTGATGCTGGTGCTGATATGCTGATGCTGATGCTGATACTGATGCTGATGCTGATGCTGATGCTGATATGCTGATATGCTGATGCTGATATGTTGATGCTGATGCTGATATGCTGATGCTGATGCTGATGCTGGTGTTGATATGCTGATGCTGGTGCTGATGCTGATGCTGATGCTGATGCTGATGCTGATGCTGATACTGATGCTGATACTGATGCTGATGCTGATGCTGGTGCTGATATGCTGATGCTGATGCTGATATGCTGATGCTGATATGCTGATGCTGATGCTGATATGCTGATGCTGATGCTTTTCTTAATATGATGCTCATAATCCCGACGCCACCCGCATCTCACCTCTGAATGTAATCAGTGGGCTGGCCATAGTCGGGTTCCATGTCGCACGGCTGCATCCATGCTGATACCAGTGCTGGAGATGATTGTCATGAAGATTATACCCATCACCTGATTATACTCATGTTAAATCTCATACCTTTGAATGTAATCAGTGGGCTGCCCATAGTCGGGTTCCATGTCGCACGGCTGCATCCATGCCGAAACCAGTGTGCGCCGGGTGCGCTTGTCCACCAGCAGTGCCGACTCTGGCAGCCTCACTCTGTCTCGCACCATCGCCTGCAGCACCTCCTGCATCTCCTGCACCAGACCTGCGAGCAGGAGGGTAAGAGGGAAAGAGGAAAATCATGGCATCAAGTAGGATGGCCTGCAGCATCTCCTGCATCTCCTGCACACATGCACCTCCGCAGGATGACCTGCGGCAGACTTTTGAGTTTTGAGGCGCCTCAAAAGTCGTCACCTGGGGCAGACCTGCGGAGGAGCTGGGGCAGCGAGCGAGCGGGGGAGAAGGGGAGGAACGCGAGAAACGAGGAAAAGAAACTCACAACATTCCATTCTTCCCCATCAGCCGAGAAGCTCACTTGCCTGCTGTCACACGAACCCACCTGCCCGGCAGAGCGCTCTGAGAAAGAGCGCAGTAGGGTGGTAGCGGTCGCCCCTCTGCACATCCAGGCAGCCCATCTGGCATGGCAGCTGCCAGCCGCTATCGTATACATGGGCAAATGGCGAGTCGAGTTTTACTTGACTCGTTTTGACAAGTTTTTTCCCTTTGACGAGTCGACTCGAGTTTTACTCGTCGAGTTTTTTTGGTCAAAATGCTGACTCGAAACTCGCCCCAAAGTCGAGTTTTTTGAAAACTCGGATGAGCCTTAAAAAAACTCGTCCAAGTCAAGTAAAACTCGACTCGAATTAAACACTACCCTAACCTAAAACCCCAGCCACAAGAAAACAGTTGTAGGGTGCCCAGAAAACTGCCACACGCGTCAACACCCACAAACGACCCAGCCAGCCCCACCTCTCCTCCCCCCTTTCACTTTCCAAAAAAGCTACTCACCGCCACACCAGCTGCACTAGTGTTCACAATTAAGTGGTGGAACACATCCAAAACAGCGAGCCACACCTCCAGCAGCATATTAACCCAGAAACAGACATTTGTACTCCCCCGTGGTGGACCATTTGATGCACGAGTTTTTTAAAACTCGTCTAGGTTAAACAAAACTCGTGAGTGAAAAAAAACTCGCGAGTTATGGGTAACTCGCCTGTCTAGCCGAGTTTTTCACGAGTTTTTTTAAACTCGCGAGTAAAAATCGACTCGTTTTCACGAGTTTTTTTTACCAAAATCAGAACTCGAAACTCATTATTTTCGAGTACTTCAAACGAGTCTAGTAAAAACTCGACTCGTTTGCCCATGTATACGCTATCGGATCGGACCTTTGAGGCGCCTCACAAGTCGGGACCCACCTGCCCGGCAGAGCGCTCTGAGGAAGAGAGCAGTGGCGTGGTAGCGGTCGCCCCTCTGCATGTCCAACTTTGTTGACTCGCCTAGAGCAAACATCAGCTGACAACCCACCTGCTCGGCAGAGCGCTCTGAGGAAGAGAGCAGTGGCGTGGTAGCGGTCGCCCCTCTGCACGTCGAGGCAGGGCATCTGGCCTGGCAGGCGCTGCAGGGCCCGGAAGTGCCGCACTGCCTCTGATAAGAAGTTCCAGTCCTTGCAGAATATCTCGATCAGCAGACTAGGGGAGGGGAAAAAAGAGAGGGACGGGGGAGCGGCAAAGGCAGGGAACACAGCTATTGGGAACAGATGCAGGGGAAAGTGCCGCACTGCCTCTGATAGGAAGTTGCAGTCCTTGCAGAATATCCCCACTAGCAGGCTGGGGAGGGGAGGGGGAGAAAAGTTGGGGGGGAAGGGGGCGCAAAGATGGAGGATGGGGGGAAAAGGCAGGGGACATGGGCATGGGAAAAAGGTGTGGAGGGGAAGTGGCGCACACCCTCTGATAAGAAGTTCCAGTCCTGACAGAATATCTCCACTAGCAGGCCGGGGAGAGGAGGAGGGGCGGGGGAGGGGATGGAGAGAGGGGAAGATAAGGGTGGCGGGAAGGCAGGTAATAAGGGTATGGGAAACAGGTGTGTGGGGAAGTGACGCACGGCCTCTGATAGGAAGTAAGGGCACAGACAGAGGCAAGCAAGGTAGTGAGGGCATGGACAAGGCAAGCACAGGACAGTTGGAGGGCAGGGCACATACGCATAGGTGTTGCCGTTGGGATGCAGTGCACGGTACTGCACCACACCACCCTGCACGGTACTGTCCTCACCATGCGCCCGATGGGAGGAAAGGCGAGTGCACGCAACGTGGAGAAAGATACGTGCACATAGTCACATACTCGCAGTCAAGCAAGCTGTAGCCAGGGTACAAGCAGGGCATGGGAGGCGAGGGCACGTACGCGTAGGTCTTGCTGTTGGGGTGCACTGTGCTGTCCTCCACCATGCGCCCTATGAACTCCAACGTGTCCTCGTACCTGCCATGCAGCGGAGGCGGGAGGGGGACAGGGGGCATGAAGCAGGGGGCAGGGAGCCGGGGGCATGAGGGCAGGGCGTGGGAGCAAGGGCAGGGCGTTGGGGTGCACAGTGCTGTCCTCCACCATGCGCCCTATGAACTCCAACGTGTCCTCGTACCTGCCATGTGGGGGAGGGGGCAGGGAGCAGGGAGCAGGGGGCAGGGGGCATGGGGCAGGGAGCATGAGGGCAGAGCGTTGGGGTGCACGGTGCCGTCCTCCACCATGCGCCCAATGAACTCCAACGTGTCCTCGTACCTGCCATGCCGGGGAGAGGGGGGGGGGGGGCGGAGGGGGGCATGTGGCAGGGGGCAGGGCGTAGAAGATCTCAAGTGTGATGTGATGTGATGTGATGTGATGTGATGTGATGTGATGTGATGTGATGTGATGTGAAGAGCGTCATTGAAATGACATTGGTTGAGCAGATGCAATCGCTGCACATATTTGGGGCCCAGCCAGACTCACAAACGAGGACTGGGGGCTCAGTTTATCAACCCTTTGCTGTGACTCACTCACCTCTCCTGGGGGTGTGCGGCGAAAGCCTCAAGCACCCAGTTGTAGGAGTGCACGTCAGGCTTGCCCTCCCTGCGGCTCTCCTTCAGCCCCTCTGTAGCCATGGAGTGTATGACATGCAAGTGTGGAGGGCAGTGCACATGGGGCACACATGGGCCACACATGGGGCACACATGGGGCACACATGGGGCACACATGGGACACATGATACACATGAAGCATCTCAAAACATCACCTCACCACACCCATCTTCTCTGGAATCTTTTCTCACTCACTTGCACCCACTCATCCGCACCCACTCACCCGCGCCCAACCTCACCCACCCTCCTGCCCTCACTCCTCCTTCCCCACTCCTGCCACTCACCACGTTGCTCCGCCACCATGGCTTCCAGCTTCTGCACTGCAATGTCCAACTCGCCCGCCTTATGTGCCCACGCATAACCCCACCCCCCCTCCCCGCCATCCGCAACATCCCTCGCGGCCCGCCCACAACCCCAGCCCTCCCAGTCACCGCGTTGCTCCTCCACCATGGCCTCCAGCTTCTGCACTGCAAGTTCCGGCATGCCCATCTTATGTACCCACGCATACCCCCCTCGCCCGCATTTGCACCACCCGCCCTCAACCCCACCTCGTCCCACTCACCGCGTTGCTCCTCCACCATCGCTTCCAGCTTCTGCACCGCAACGTCCGGCACGCCCGCCTTGCTCTGGTGGGAGGGGAGGAGGGGGAGCCGAAGTGATAGTTGACAAGGGGTGGGAGGGGGGAAGGAAGGGGTTGAAAGGGGTTTGAGGGGTGGAGCGTTGCTCCTCCACCATAACTTCCAGCTTCTGCATCGCAACATCCGGCACGCCCGCCTTGCTCTGGTGGGAGGGGAGGAGGGGGGGGGAGGGGGGCGGGTGGGGGAAGGGGGGTTGGTGTTGATGTGGTTGAGTCAGAATCATATCCCCCACCCCCGAGCCTAGCTTGGAGAGGCCGTCACACCCGCGTGGGGTGGAGGGGTAAGAGTGATAGTTGACGAGGGGTGGGAGGGGGGCAGAGGGAGATTGAGGGGTGGTGCAACATGGCTTCCAGCTTCAATACCACTATGTCTGACACGCCCGTCTTGCCGTCTGGTGGGAGGGGAGGAGGGCGGGTGGGGGGTCTAAGAATGACGCTCCTCAAAAATAGACTTGTGCTCTGCTCTGTCCGGCACCCCCCTCCTGTGTGATAAGTCGATTTTTGAGTCGACTCAAAAGCTCCTCAAAAATAGACTTGTGCTCTGCTCTGTCCGGCACCCCCCTCCTGCTCTGGTTCGAGGGCAAGAGCCATAAGCAGGAACGAGGAGAGAGATAGAGGTGCTTGCTTCCCCAATAGATACACCAGCCCCACGACCCCACCCTCCCACACACGCCACGCACCATGCTCATGAGCACGCAGTTATGGTGGAAACCCCCACCTCCCCCCACTCTCCCCCCACCCTGTCACCCCCCACGCACCATGCTCATGAGCACGCAGTTGTGGTGGAACGTGGCGGGCGCGTCCATCCCTCTCCGCACATCCCACCGAAACCACTCTACACTGCACTCTGTAACACGCCCCATGCCCCATGCCCATGCGCCTCCCTCCCTACACGCCACGCACCATGCTCATGAGCACGCAGTTATGGTGGAACGTGGCAGGCGTCCATCCGCGCTGCTCCAGAGCGTTCATCACGTCATGTGCGTCCGCATGCCTTCCCTCCCGGCAGCTGCTCTCCACCACTGTGTCTATGAGGCCTGCTGTGGGCCACATCCCGTCCTCCACTCCTCTTAGAAGCAGCGCCTTGCCCTCCGCATGACTGCCCGATGCAAATAGCTCCTCTGGAGGAACAGGGGTGGGGGACGGCGGAGTGGGGATGGGAGGGCGTTCTTAAGAGCTGAAAGACTCTGAAGTTGAGGCGCTTTGGGGAGTAGACCGGATGAAAAATACTCTGGTGGTTGGCTCGCAAGGGGTTGCGTGGGAATGCGAGCAGTGGCGAGCAGGGGATCGAAGGGGTTGAAGCAGGGGAGGGGGACAGGGAGGGAAGAGAAAGAAACGTGGAGGCGCAAGAAACGAGAAGGAAGGCGTTTGTTGTGGGCTATATCCCTCAGAACCGAAGCTCTGCCCACCCCACCCCCCCGCTCCACCAAGCCGCCCTTGTCACTCACCGATAAGGACGACCCACGCCGCCCGCTGATTGAGCTGCAGTTCCCCCATGAGCGCGAGGATGCCCTCCCCCTCCGCCACCTGCCCCCTCCGCCCGCTCAGCCGCAGCACTGCCACCAGCGTCTCGTACAGCGGGAACACGCCGCTGTTTAACATGCGGCGCATGGCGCGGCGCTGATAAGGGGAGAGGGAATGGAGGAGAAATGGAGAGAGGATGGTGAGTAGGGGGTAAGAGAGGCACTGTGCCTCTCTGCCTGCCGCTCAGCCGCAGCACCGCCACCAGCGTCTCGTACAGCGGAAACACGCCGCTGTTCAACATGCGCTGTAACGCCCGGCGCTGATAAGAGGGGAACAGGCGGTAAGGGGAGAGGAGGGTGACGGTGGGAAAGGGGGATATGTTTATGAGTTTAAACTCAGTCGCAGCACCGCCACCAGCGTCTCGTACAGCGGAAACACGCCGCTGTTCAACATGCGCTGTAACGCCCGGCGCTGATAAGAGGGGAACAGGCGGTAAGGGGAGAGGAGGGTGACGGTGGGAAAGAGGGGATATGTTTATGAGTTTAAACTCAGCCGCAGCACCGCCACCAGCGTCTCGTACAGCGGAAACACGCCGCTGTTCAGCATGCGCCGCAGGGCACGACGCTGATGGGGAGAAGGGCAGGGGGCGGAGGGGAGGGAGGATGGGGAGGCATTTAAAGGCAGATGGTGCCTTTCTGCCTGCCGCTCACGCGCAGCATTCTCCACAGGGGAACAGGGGAGACGGGGAATTCGATGCAAGCGCGGGAAGACGCGGAAGGGACGCTGGGAGGCTCGTGATGGTTCGTCTCGCTCTCAGGCTCTCAGCCACACCACATGAAACGACCAGAGACGTCTTTCAAGACTTGTTCAAACCGACTCAAAGGACATTTGACTCCTTTCCCCTCTTCCTGGTGAATAGGCACGCGGCAGCAGTCCGCTCACCGCTTCAGAGAGGTCCCCCCTGACTGTGTGTACGACCACAATGGCGTGGTGCGCCCGCGTGCCCCCCTTCTCTTTTTCCCCCTTCTCCCTTTGCCCCCCTTCTCTTTTTCCCCCTTCTCCCCTTGCCCTCCTTCCCTTTTTCCCCCTTCTCCCCTTGCCCTCCTTCGCTTTTTCCCCCTTCTCCCCTTACCCTCCTTCCCTTTTTCCCCCTTCTCCCCTTGCCGCCCTTCCCTTTTTCCCCCTTCTCCTCTCGCCCCCTTCCCCTCCCAACTAACAGATACGCCGCAACACCCGCCTTACCGCTTCAAAGAGGTCCCCCTTGGACGTGTGCACGACCACTGCGGCGTGGTGCGCGCGCGCGCCCGCCCGGAGACCCAGGCGGCGCATCTCCGCCATGCGCGCCTCCACCTCCTCCCCCGCGCCCGCACGGCTGCTGCGCGCCAGCGACTCCGCGAAGTACAGGCGCAGCTGCTGCGCGTCCAGCGCGGATACCGGCACTGGGGAAGGGGGAGGCGAGAAGGGGGTGGACGGGAGAAAGGGGAGGGGTAGGAGGGGAGAGGAGAGGGGAGAAACTGTTTGGTCTGAAAAACTGCCAGAAGACGAGTATTTCTGCCGGCGCGAAACGAGCGCCACGGCCCACCAGCCTATCCCGCCACTTCCCACAGCGTTGAACATTCGGAGCACATCACACTAGCACGCTCGTGCACACTCACACACAGCATAAATCGCGCCCACCCCTCTCGTCTTCTCGCCACCCAAGTGGACAGCTTAGAAGGCGACCTCACTTGTGGAACCGAAATGCACACCTGTGAAGCCAAGCTCACCTGTGGATCCGAGCTTGTCGAAATTCAGCAGCCACTGCTCCGACTGCTGCCTCCTCTCCCTCCTCTCTTCCTCACTCTCCTCCTCCTCTTCTTCCTCCTCCTCCCATCCCTCCTCCTCCTCCTCTCCCTCCTCCTCATCCTCCTCCTCCTCATCCTCCTCCTCTTCCCATTCCTCCTCGTCGTCCTCCTCTCCCCCCTCCGAACCTCCATCCACCGTTCTAAACCCCTCCACCTGACCATTCACTCCCGCTCCCCCCCCCACCGCCTTGACTTGCGCGTGCGATCCATCCTGCGACAAAGCCTGCTCCTGGCCGCCGCTCGCCGCCGAACCCGTCGCAGTTGTCGCACGTGTCGCACTAGCTGCGTCGCCGTCGCTTGCTCCGCCGACAACCGTCGTCCACGACTCGGAATCAGACGACGACGCTAACGACCGAACGACCCTCCTGTGCTGCTTGCTCTCACATTCACCCCCATTGCCGCACTGCGGTACCGGACTGCACCTCGCAGCAAATACTGGCCCAACAACCTCTCTTCTTAATCGAGTCAAGACACCAGGTTGTTTACTCGACGATGTGACTATATCGGGGACCGTATAACGGGTTGTAACCCTAGGAACCGAGATGACTGGAAGTCGGATCCCTAGCAGCTGAGAGCGAGAAATCGGAGAAAGGATGACGCGGGCGGGTTTGGGTTTATGATAAGACTTGACCAGAGGTAGTTGGTACGCGGGCCTCGAGTGACCCGAGACAGCAGGATACGATGTCGCCATCAAGACTGCCGCGGAGATTTAGAACCGTGCGATGCGATTTGACGGCTCCCGGCGAATGCGATATGTCAGAGACACATCAGGGACTGGGCTTCGCTTCGCCTGATGACCCGCTAGCCTAATCCGGCGAAAGGTTAAACAGCAGCGCGATGGACTATCACCATTCCAGGCGGGAGAGTTAACGACGACCTAGGACTGGCAGCTGGAAAGGCTGGTTTCGACAATCCCAAGGCTCAGATATCCACGACGAGCCAGGGGGGTGCAACTATGGAGGGAGGAATGGATTATGAAGCCAGACAAAATCTGTCCCTTGAACCGCCGCTGACACCACACCACGCACGAATCCTCGCTTCACAATGACTATGTACCGATATGAGGTATAAGTGCGACTCTGAAAAAAGGCGTAACGAGATGGAAACAGATCTTGAGAATAACTGTAATCATATCAACTATCTTCTTGAATGTGGCAAGCAGGGATGTGTGTTATCAAGCTATCACGTTTGACACACTTACTAGCCACTTCTCCCATTGCTTAAGATACTAGTTAAAAACAGAACTGACCCCAATACCCTATTGCCTCCACACCAGTCTCTGTTTGGTGTGTCCCCGCCCTGGGTCTGGCTGGAGCTGCTTGGCTGCTATGTTGCTTGCCTTGCAATCCTAGCTGGTCGGCTGGTTGGCTAGTTGATTGATGTTGGGGGTGGTGGGTGTGGGATGGCAGCTGCAGATGCAGGGATGGAGGATGCAGCAATAGTACATCTGAGTGTACAACTGAGTGGCGTCTACTGTACTCTTGCTGCACAGCATGGCTGTCTGTCATGCCTGCGGTTACTGCACTTGACACAGCAGCACCTCACTCTCACTCAGGGCCATGAACGAGTGCTTGGCCTGTCGCAGCCAGGCCCTCATCATGCCACGGCACAGCACATCACCTGCAGGAGGACACTCCGTCCGGTTTGGGTGTTTGTGCCCAGGCGTCTTCCAGGCTGCCCACCCCACCCACCTATTCCACAACATGCAGGCCCATCCCACCACAGCACAGCACAACACAGCACGCCCAAGCAAACCAAAGCACAGCTAAGCACACTTAACTTAAGCACACCCAAGCAAACCAATGCACGGCTAAGGACAGCGGCGGTCCATCTTGAGCTCTTGGTTGTCCACGGACCACCGCCATGCGGCAGCCCAGATGTCCTTTTCAAGACTCAAGAGTAAGTTGACAGTCCTCTACCCTGCCCTGCACTTCACCACAGAAGAGCCACCTCTGAGATGCCGACGGGACAGCAACGGGACATGGAAGAAAGCGGACGCGAGCGAACAGAGAGAACAGAGAGCCACTTAGAAGCTGCAAAAGCGCACATCACCACAGAGAAGTGAAGCTGATTCAAGGGCACAAAAGAGTTGTTTATAATGTTCATGCCAGGTCGCCATTGTGAAGTAAGCATGAAGTGAGAAACGTACTACCTACCCCAGAGATAGCCATTAGCAAGACCAGCAACTCCTTCTTTTAGAATCTCCCATCACACCTACCATGTAGAATACACAGCACCGATGTTGCTACCACTGCTTCCACCACAGATGCTGCCAGGAACAACCGTGGGGCATAGAGAGGGGAGAAAGCAAGAGAGCAACACAAGGAGACAGACAAAGGGAGAGGGATGGAGACCAGGTCACCATAATAATAGGACACAGAAAAAAAGGAGGACGAGCAGCATGAGGAGAAGGATGAAGGGAGACAAGAAAGACATCAAAGCAAAGATAACAACGCAAACCATATGAAAAACAGCACTTTAAGGGAAATCGGAAGCACTAGACTAAGCTGTACTCACCCTTCCATTGCTACAGCAGCAACCACTGCAGTGGCCATGGATGCTCCAACTGCTCCTGCCACCATTGCTGGTGCTGCTGCCACCGATGCTGCCCGTGCTGTTGGTGCTGGGTGAAACGTGCTGCTCTGCGGGCCATGGAAGAGAGGAGAGCAGAGAAGAGAAGATGGCCAGAGAGGAAGGATTTGACAGCTGAGGACAGTGGCATGAACATCTGGTAACACAGTAACGGGCACCAGTGTGGCAAGAAGGTAGACATAGTAGAACTGCATAGGAGAAAGCAGGAAAATGGTGAATGGAATAGCGGTATACACATTGATCTGCTCCACTCACAAGTCGGTGTGTGCTTGCCATCATCCTGCAGTCGCAGCCACTGGTGATCCGCTGCAACCACTGGACAAAGCACACCGCACTGCACGGCTTGGAGCCTGAGAGACACACGCACACGCACACAAGGACAGGCGCCGCCCTCCTATCCCCAACCCCCTCCTCTCTCCCTCCCACCCCCCTCGTTCCACCCCTCCCCTTCCACTCCTCCCCACCCCTCCGTCCTCACAATCATGGGTAGACAAAACACACACACACAGAAGCGGCGCAAGAAGGGAGGGTTAGGAGCAACAGGAGAGGAGGCGAGTGGCAGAAACAAGAACAAGAGACACGTTTCTTGCCTCTGCGCGGCGACTCACTTCATAGCCCCCCTGCAAGCACCCCCTGGCACGTACCATGCTCCGTCCGTTGCTCTCCCACAGCTGCACCACGAGCAATCCGCCACACTCCGGAGCTTGGAGGCTGAGAGGCACACTCAGAGGCATGCACACACACACACGCACACATGCACACCCCACCGCCTTCCCCCCTTTCCCCCACACGCACATGCACAGTCCTTATCCACTCGCTGCCATTCCTGTCCGTCTCGCAGGACGTGAGGCACACACACGCATGGGGAGAGAGAGACACACACACAGAAGCGGCTCAACAAGGGAGGGTTAGGAGCAGCAAAAAAGGAGGCGAGTGGCAAAGACAAGAACAAGACACGACTCCTGCCTCTGTGCGGCGACTCGCTACGACTCGATTCACAGCCCCCCTGCAAGCACCCCCTGGCACGTACCATGATCTGTCCGCTGCTCTCCCAGTTTTGCGCCACGCCTTCACTTGAGGCATCCACGTGCTGCCATTGCTCTCCGTCTCGCAGGCCACGAGGCACACACACACATTCGGAGAGAGAAAGAGACACACACATGGGGGGAGAGAGAGAGAGAGACACACACACACACACGTTGGGGGAGAGAGAGACACACATAGAAGAAGGTTAGAAAGCAGGTGGCGAGTGGTGGACCCACAACAAGCAACAGACACGACTCTTGCCTCTGCGCGGCGACACTCTATGACAGTTCACGGCCCCCCCGCAAGCAGCCCCTGGCACGTACCATGCTCCCTTCGCTGCTCTCCCACTCCTGCGCCATGCCCTCACTTCAGGCGTGCTGCTCCAGGTGTGGTGGACTGGTTGGTCTGATGGACTCACACCTCCTTGTGTGCTGGCCTGGCCATCATCCTGGCCATGAAGGGGGGAGAGCGAGGCAAAGAAAACAGGTTAACCGCATACAGTAAGACAAGAGAGAGAGCCACATAGACAAGGGTGAACTTAGACGGGTAAGCTCTGAGACACCCTGACAAGAGCACAGGCGGCATTGAACAACCAACAAATAGAGGGAACTAGGTGGCGATAGGATAAGCTGCACTCACTCACCCCTCCATTTCTGCTGAAGCCACCAGTGCAGCTGTCACTGACTTGCAACTGACGTTGGCACCACTGGCACCGCTGCCCATGCCGTGATAGATGCTGGAGTTTGGCTGCTGCCGCCGCCGGCACCTCTGACATGCGAGAGGAGATGGCACATGGCACCAGTGCAGCTGTCACTGACTTGCAACTGACGCTGGCACCACTGGCACCGCTGCCCATGCGGCTGGTTCTGGACAAAAGGTGTGGCACTGCTGCCACCAGTGCAGCTGCTGCACCAGTGCTGCTGCTGCCAATGCGGCTGTCCACGGCGCGTGCTCTGGATAAAAGCTGCTGATGAATGGGCGGAGAGTTGAGAAGAGCAGACGGCAGGAGTGGAGAGGTTTCGGAGCTGAGAAGAGTGCCATGAAACTCTGGCAATACACCAGCAAAGATATGTGGGCACCGTGGAAATCTCCCAACTGGTAGACATGACCGAACTGCACAAGAGAACGCATGAACACGGCGAATGGAGAAGCTGTGCAGCCACTGGTGATCCATGCGAATGAAGTTGATCTGATGGACTCACAACTCCTTGAGTGCTCGCCATCATCCCGCAGCTGCTGCAGCCACTGGTGATCCATGCGTTGTTGCAGACACTGGCGATCCCTGCCCCTCGAGTGCTGGAGGTGAGGGGAGGAAGGACGGTAAGGAAGAGGAAGCGAGGCCTGAGCAAGAAGAGACAAGTGAGTGGATGAGAGGCCGAGCAGAAGCAAGTGGATGAAATGGCAGGCGAAGGCTGGAGAAGGGACTGAGATAGAATGGCATGCATGGTGCATCTGAACTCGCGGTTACCTCTTGATTTGAAGAAACTTTGCAGGAGAATTAAGGCTCCGTTTCTCCATGCTAAACGGTTGCCTCTTGTCCATTCCCCGTCCGCTCCCTCCCCATCCGTCTCGCAGGCCGTGAGGAACACGCACGCATGAGGAGAGAGAGCCACACAGAAGCGATGCAACAGGGGATGGTTAGAAGCAGCAGGAGGGGAGGCGAGTGGTGGAGGCAAAAGCATCAGACACGACTCTTGCCTCTGCGCGGCGACACCCTCCGACTCAATGCACGGCCCCCCCGCAAGCACACCCTGGCACGTACCACCCTGCCACTCTGCCTGCACCACGCCTGCTCTGCAAGCGTGCTACTCCAGGCTGCTCTGTTGCTGCTGCGCCAAGCCTTCGCTCCAAGCAGCGCCCTGCCGCTGCCCGTGCTCTTGGTTGCTCCGTTGCTTCTGCTACTGCAGTCGTTGCTGCTGTCGCAACCACTGGTCGCTGCAGAGGACAGATGAGGACAGGAGAGAAGGGGTTTGAGAACTGAGAAGTGTGGCATGAGAACATGGCAACACAGCTGCAAAGACTCATGGGCGCCATGGGGGGATGGTAGACATGAGAGAACGGAACAGAAATCAGGAAGATGGTGAAGAGAGAACAGAGAAAGCAGGAAGATGGTGAAGAGTGAAGAGAGAAAGCAGGAAGATGGTGAAGAGTGAACAGAGAAAGCAGGAAGATGGTGAAGAGTGAAGAGAGAAAGCAGGAAGATGGTATACTGCTTGATCGCCTCGCCACCATCCTGCAGTCGCTGCAGCCATTGGTGATCCCCGCTGCCACTAGCTGCCATTTCCCCCGTCTCGCAGGCCATGAGGCACACACACGCATGGGGAGAGAGACACGCACAAAAGTGGCTCAACAAGGGAGGGTTAGGAGCAGCAGGAGAGGAGGCGAGTGGTGGAGGCAAGGGCAACAGACACGACGCCTCTGCGCGGCGACTCCCTACGACTGACTTCACTCCACACCCTGCAAGCACCCCCTGGCACGTACCACTTCTCCTCCTTAGTAGAGCCTGCCACTCCTGCGCCACACGTTCGCCCCAAGCAGCACCTGCTGCGACCCGCACTCCAGGAGCCAGGCGTGCTGCTCCAGCTTGCCTGCAATGCGAAGGGACTGTGGCTTGTGAGTCAGGCCAAAACCAACAAGTTGCGAGATTTCAGAGGAGAGAGCAGTGAAGAACGTGCAGTAGAAGCATGAGCGCTTGGCATCACAAAAGGCAAAGCGTTCAGATGAGAACATACTTGCCTGAAAAGTCAATGCGCTGTTGCATTCACTAGCGCTGCTCCTGCTGCTTCAAGTCACCAGTGGTGCTGCATTCACCAGAGCTGCTGCTGTGTCTCGGGCTGAATGAAGCCTGCACACTTGTCACCCGCATCCACTCCCTGCCATTCCCCGTCTCGCAGGCCATGAGGCACACACACACGAGGGGAGAGAGGCACGCAGACAGAAGCAGCGCAATAAGGGAGGGTTAGAAGCAGTAGGAAAGGAGGCGAATGGTGGAGTCAAGGGCAAGGTCTCTTGCCTCTGCGCGGCGACGCCCTACGACTCACTTCACGGCCCCCCTACCAGCACCCCCTCGCACATACCATGCTAAGTCCCAATCCTGCGGAACGCCTTCACTTCAGGCGTGCTGCTTCGGGATGACTCTCGAGCGAGGCAGCAATGGATGTCACGTCCGTTCCGCGTCCACTCTGCGCCAATCCGCGTCCACTCCGCGCCAATCCGCGTCCACGCAGAGCCATTCCGTGTCTACGCTGTGCCATTGCCCTTCACCTCGGAGGCCGCGAGGCACACACACGCGCATGGGGAGAGAGAGGCAGCCACACAGAAGCAGCGAAATAAGGGAGGGTTAGAAGCAGCAGGTGGCAAGTGGTGGAGCTGCAAGCAACAAATACGACTCTTGCCTCTGCGCGGCGACGCCTACGACTCACTTCACGGCCCCCCTGCAAGCACCCCTCCGTGCACGTACCACGTTCCGTCCGGCACTCTGCCGCTGCTGCGCCACGCCTTCACTTCAGGCGTGCTGCTCCTGGCTGTCTCTCGTGCGCGCCAGCAACGACCGCCGCGTCGATTCCCTGTCCATCCAATGCAATTCTCGTCCGTCTCGCAGCCGTAAGTCACACACACGCACGGGGAGAGGGACACGCATACAGAAGCATCGAGAACACGGGAGGGAGGGTTAGAGGCAGCAGGTGGCAAGTGGTGGAGCTGCAAGCAACAAACACGACTCTTGCCTCTGCGCGGCGACGCCTACGACCTACTTCACGGCCCCCCTGCAAGCACCTCCTGACACGTACCACGTTCCGTTCGCCGCTCGCCGCGCCGTCAGTTGACGCGTGCTGCTCCAGGCCGCTCGGTTGCTGCTGCTGCTGCAGTCGTTGCTCTCGTCGCGACCACCACCGCGTCTCTGTCTTGGTCAAGACCCGACTGCAATCCTCGAGCGACGGCGGAAACAGCAGCTCCGTCGCTTGGACGGCGGAAACAGCAGCTCCGTCGCTTGGACGGCGGAAACAGCAGCTCCGTCGCTTTGACGGCAGAAACAGCAGCTCCGTCGCTTTGACGGCGGCGGAAACAGCAGCTCCGTCGCTTTGACGGCGGAAACGGCAGATATTGCGGTGACGGTGATGATTCGATGGCGGAAGCAGCAGCGACTCGCTTTGACCTCGGAAATTGTTGACAGCGAAAACGGAAGTAACGTTGTTTTGTCGGCGGAAATGACAGCGCCGTCGCTTTGGAGCCGGAAACGGCGGAAACGGCGGAAACTGCAGTAAAGTAGTGCCTACAGCGGAAGCAATAGGGATGTCGTTTTCATCGCGGAAATGGCAGCAACGTTACTGCTTCCACGCCGAAACCGTCAGCAGTGTTTCTTCAACACAGCTGTTCTGACGGAAGCACCAATAGCGACGTCGCGTCGGCGGAAACAGCAAGTAGGCCTCTACGCGTAAAGCAGCTAACAGGTTGGCGTTATGGCGGAAAAAGTAGCTAAGTCTTGACGGCTATAGCAGCGACGATGATGCCTTTTCTGGCGGAAGGCAGATCGGCGGACAGAGTCGAGGCTAATAAACTATGAGCGAGTTTAAGCATAGTTCATGTGAGCGAGTGAACGAGGGGCCAGTGCAACCAGCAGCCGACATAGCTAGACATGGCTCAGGGCGAAGATAAGAAAAACGGCAGGCTAGAGACAGTGCAAGCGGAGCTAAGCGACGATGCCGTGGAGAAGAAACCATTGCTTGTCCCGCTCTAAACAATTGCAAGGAGAAACCAAGGGAACATCCTCCAGCAAGGTTTGGCTGGAAGGCGGGAGCGCGGCTGAATTCCTCCGTCAACTTCCGTCCCGACTCCCAAGCCATACCAAACAAGCCCAGTCCCTTGGCCCATGAAACCTAGAGGCATTTCATGCTAGTGAGGAGGAGGTTCGGATTATAAGTGGGAGGCGGTCATTGGCTGGCCAAGGCGGTTGCCAGATCAGTCAGAGCGTACATTTGAAAAATTTGGAGGGAGTATGGAGGCTCGGTTGGACGAGGTTCGGTCGAAATGGTTTGGAAAATATGCGATAATGGGCGAATGCAAGCACGGTTTACCAGAACCATTCTATTAGATCAAGCACTACAAAAAATACTTTATGATTCAATAGAAATCGATGCATAATCAAATAATCCAGTATGATATCTTGAATGCAAACAATGGTATTTTTGAAACACTTCTACATAAAAATTTGATTCGGGAAGAAAAGCCGCAGACAGAATTATCCATCCATCCGGCAGGCCCTCAGAAGTCAGCGAAAAAAGGCTGATTATGGGTAAAAATGCTGTGATTTCAGTGGTGGGGGAATATTGAGGCTGCTGTGTCAGCTTTTTTTTTTAATTGTTTGCTGAAAGTTCAGTTTTTTAAAATCGGTTTTTGCTGAAATATCATATTTTTTCCAGTAGGGTACGCTGTATCGTCAGAGTTGTAAGACAGGGTTGGGCTGAAATCCCTGTAGTGGAGATTTGTGTAAGAGCCCTGAATTCCGGACGTCTAGGTACACTGCTTCGATCCCGCCTCCGTCAATCACGCCGAAATGGCAAGATTCCTTGCCAACGCATTCGGGAATGGCATCATTCCAGAATGTTCACTTCACTGCTGTCTTATCGCGAAGGTATCTTCGCTCCTGATTGGTTGTTTGGGCAACCACATCACTCTCTGGCGAATCGAAAGTCAACAGCGCTGCACAACGCACGCACGTTGTGTGAGAATAAGCGAACAGGAATGAATGAACTAGCAGTGAAATGAGTACAAGTAGGAAACCCTAGAATTGTGTACCCCCTATAGGCAAACCCACTGTAGCCTACACAAGCATAACATATATAATGTTTGACACACCCCCATAGGCAAAGTGGGGGAGAACAAGGGGTCACAAGACCAGTCAAGCAAAGCAAAGCAAGCTCAGGGTGGATCACAAAGTCACCACACAGTCCGAGCACAAGAGCAGGGCCAGAGGCCAGTTCACATGCAGGAGTACAGACATATATATAAATCTAGACAAGCAAGAGCAGGTATATATATATGTCACAGTACAAGTGAAGTCAAGAGGAGAGCAAGTGAGGCAAGACAGGCACAAGACCCAGCTGGGTGCAAAAGCGCTGATGGTCACAAGGCGCGAGTGCCTTGGTGAACACATCAGCAGTGTTGGCCTCAGAGGCCACGTACGCAAGTCGCAACTGACCACGCTGCTGCAGCTCACGAGCAAGGAAGTAGCGGAGAGCAATGTGCTTCGTTCTGTGCTCCAAGCGCTGCTCTCGACACAAGGCCAGCATGGCCTTGTTGTCTACGTACAGCACTGGAGGAGAACGAGGCGGCTCTCCAAGGTCAGTCAGCAGGTAGGTGAGCCAGCGAAGCTCCTGTGCAGCCATGGCCCCGGCGTAGATCTCAGCCTCACAACTGGAGCCGAGAACCGAAGACGAGCGAGTAGACCGCCACGAGACAGAGCCGGAACCAAGGCTGAAGGTGTAACCCTGTGACGACCGCTGCGTAGCCTGGTCGTCAGC